TAATGAAAATTGTTCAACATCTTTATTATAACTTTTTTATTTTAAGCTTAACTTAATATTGTCGTATACACTGTATACTGTCTACAAAAAATTTTTTTTAATCATTTTTATGTTTTCAAACTTTCTTAATCCTAATCAGAAACATTGTTCACTTTAATTTTTATTTTTGAAATTTTTTTAGAACATTATGGATGTGAGTTTTATAATATAATTATATCATGCATAAAAAAACAAAAAAGTACAATAATAGGTAGGTACTATACAGTATATTAGTGTTTCTTGACTAATATGTTGCCAGATAAGTCCAAATGTGTCGCAAAGTATCTATATTAAATATATGACACAATTTAGAAATATTTGTGTGATGATTTAAAATAAATTATCTGTTATTGACATTTATCATTATTTTTGTCATATTTTTTCTTTGTTACCTATTTTTAAGTTTAAATTATAAATTGAAATTAAATATTATTCATTATCCTTATTTTTTTATTATGTGTCATAAAGTATAAAATATTTTAATAGCGTGTCACTTTAATACAAAAGTTGAGAAACATTGAAATAGTGGAATGTATTATACTATGTAGGTATTACTGTATTAGTTATCTTGAAGATTTAAACGAAGGAACCCACACTTCTATATTTTAATGAGTAATCAAAAAATATCATATTGGCAATAAATAATAATAAAATAGATAATTATTATCTTTAATAGAATTTGAATGTTTTTAATTATTTAGTTAACCAATAATAATTTTGAATTAATTTACCTATTTAAAGTAGACATGTATAAACATATAATATAGAAACTCCACGTTTTAAAAATAGTTTCTATAAATAGTATAAATTAAACTAAATTTTTAAGATTAAATGCTGTAACTTAAAGCAAAATGTTTATTAGGTATCAATTATTTTATAGAATCTGTGCATTTTGATTTTTGACACATGTTTGTGAACTATTTCTACACTGTACTAAATTGAAATGACTGCATTGATTAGAAAGATTATTTTAAGTTTTAAATATAAATTATAAAGCTTTGTTAATATTTTTTAATTTTTATTATATATTATAAAGTTAACTTTTTGATAAAAATTATAATTAAAATATAAATAATATATTAATGAGTACCTACATAATAATTGTTGACTAATAAATTGTATAAATATATTATATGAATGAAGTGTTCATCATATTAAGTCAGTAAAATATAATTTAAATCAATAATATGTGTATTATAATTTTTCATTTTTTTTTTTATAGAAACTAAAATTTGAATTCTTTGATAGAACTAGTAGTAGGTAATACAAAATAATTTGGTATAATCAAGAATACTTCAATAATTGTAATATTTTAAATCCTAATTTGAAATTTTTACCAAAGTTTATTTTGCTCTTTACTGCAAAATTGTATTAAGTTAGAATTCTTTTTCACTTGTATCTACAAATGATTAAAAACAACCTTTATTTCAAATGTTACTCATGGGTCATGGATCTCAATTAGTTTAGTTACCTATGGTATTGATTATTTTCTTATTGGAATAAAATATTTAATATTAACTAATGGAAATAATATGCTGATTAACAAACAACATTTTAGTTGACTGTAGATAAGTTATTGATTTAAAAGTTTTTATAATTATTATAAATTATTTTTTTTTTTAAATAACAATTTGTTTATTTTTTACCAGGATCTGACCCTGGCTTTCTTAATTTATTTAAAGTAAAAACCAAAGCTTATTAGTAATTAAGCTTAATTCGATCCTATCTGTGTTTTATACTAAAGTGTATTAATCATATGCCAATTGTATCAACTATCCTAGTCATCAGATAAAACTCCTGAAAACATATTTTAATTCGTCATTAAGTTTACTTGTAAACGATATTTCCAATTCGTTGTAATTCAGCTCTTAAAAACCTTCAAAATTAAATATCTAAATAAAAATTTTGAATATTATTATTTATTAATATTAAAACGTTAATTATATTGATTATTGAAGTGTATAAAATGAATTAAACAATTTTTAAAAGTTGTTTTCTAGTTAATTTCACGACGAATTTAATTATGTTTTCGAAAATTATATTGGTTAAATAGATTAGTTAATACGCCTGATAAATGATTGATGCTTTTTATTAAAAATAAAAAGCAAAATGAGTAATATTCGTGTAACGCGTTTTTGACATTTACGTATATTGTATATACATTCGAGCGGAAGCGTCCGTTTATTTATTTAATATACAATTTACGTCATACCTACTACAATATAGTATACTACTACATTAATGATCACATACTACGTACACACATAGAATATTGCCTATATTGAACTCCTTAAAAGTTAATGAAAACGACAGTCACGGATGGTCAGTCTAGTTCACGTTCAACATTGTAGAAATGTAAAATCGTTGGAAACACTGGAAACGTAGTAGAAACATTTGGAAAGTTTGTAGGTTAGGTTCTAATTATTTTGGCTTGTTATTTGAAAAAATATTCGGGAGAACTCTGAATTTATGTAGCAGGAATGTATGTTGTGAGTGATAGTCGACGACAATTGTCGCTGCCGCCGCCGCCGCCGCCGTCGACGATATAAAAAACGAACGATTAGCTTGTACGCCCCTGGTACTCTGGACTCAATTTTGTCGGAGTCCTCGATTTACGCAATCGACCGTCAATAATAGTTACTTATTATTAGAACGTCCTAGATTGCAGCGGCTCCCTAACTTTTTTTTTGCGTACAATTATGATTAAAAATTAAACGATCCAAATTTTACATACGATATAGTTAAATACATTTATTTTAAAAAATAAGGCAGTAAAATAGTACAATATAATAATAATTATTATTTATTTATTAATAGACATTTATTAGTTTTTTAAAATAAGATATGAATAAAAAACAATTTTTTCAATGAAAACCATTGTAGGTTTGATATTGGCGGTGAAATATCTAGTAAATAGTTGTAATTATTTCATAAATAATATTTTAATAAGTAATAACTATTAACTACTTCAAACACAATATTTATTTTTATTTTCCGTTCTACCTCCATGTGGCCTTCCGCGTACCAGTATCACAGTTTGAAAACCGCTGTTCTAGAGATTTCTTCACCACTAAATAGACGTTACTCACCCATCTCTTTAAGAAGTTTGAATAATTTTTCAGGCAATTTAATAATAATCTGAGAAAAGTTAGTTGTAAATGTATTTTACCTATGTTATGAAATTTAATATTTTAATGACTACAAAAGTTTTTGTTGTATTGTTGTCTTATTAATTCATCACGATAGAACGGTTTCGCACAGGAGAAAAAACCGATGTAATACTCAGCTAGTAGTCCAATTCTTGAAATCGTGAAATTAATTCTTGCATTTAATAAAACATAGATTTCAAAGAGAGGCTACTGATAGGCCTGTAAATGGTTAAAAAAAACTGATCGTAATTATTAAGAGTTAAAACCTCGAAACTGATTTAAAAATTGTATTAACAATATTATCAGGGCACAATAACATGATAATAATTGTTGTTTCATCATCGCATACAGTGTCTATAATTTATCATTAATATTTAATCCAATAAGTATTATGTATGTAAAGGTAAGAATAATTGAGAATTAATTATCAAGATAATGCAGACTGATGTATCATTTCGTTTTTTTATTTCTGTTTAGCTTATTCAGTTTGAGAACTTAAAAATGAATAAATAAAAAGTATTTACAAATGCATTTATTACTATTAGAGAAATTATTATACATGATATAAATGTTTTAAAACTAGTGATTTTTATTACATCCTACTATCTATAAATACGAAATTTCCTTTGAAAGTCGTTATAACTGAATATCCGATTTCCACTGTATAATAATTATAAAAACGTTTCAATTTAATAACATAATGGTTAACTAGTTATCAATTATTTTGTTCGTAAATTGGTAAGAAATAAGACTATATTACTATCATTAGTCCACAATTTATCAAACTTGACTATTTTATTTTAAATTTAAATTATTATACGGTTATAAATATATTTTTGTAATAAAAAAAATAAAAAATCATGAAACTTTGAAATAATTAAAATAAAAAAGACAATAAATGTATAGAGTTCGGTCATGGATATATATACAATGGAACCTCTATAACTCGAATCGGTTGGGGGCGAAAAAAAAATTCGAGTTATCGAAAATTCGACTTACAGAGGTTACACATATGATATGTTATAAAGTAGGGGCTAAGACATTCTTTCGAGTTATTGAAAATTCGACTTATAGAAGTTCGAGTTATCGAGGTTCCACTGTATAATAATAGTAATGCTTCAATTTTTGTATTAGTTTATTTAAATTTATTAGATTATTTTGAAACAAATTAATTATTTATTTGCATTTTGACATTATCTCACGGATAATTATATGAACTATTGAATTTGTTAACAAGAATAATATAAATTAATCATTTGTAATCAATAAATCACATAATATAATGCAATAGTTCCGTTTATATTTGTCGTATTACTCATATTTATATTATTTACATATTTGCATTAAGAGTTAGAAGCTTAGAACGGTATACAAGTACATAATTTACATACATACTAAGATTTATGTTATTACGTAAAAGCTGCCGCGCATTTCTAAAGTAAAATTATTAAAAACCAAATGCACACACTATGTGTCTGCATCTAAAGTGTTGTCAGTGTTGTTTATAATAATTAATAATTATACCTACTGAATGGTAATGAAGAGCTCTGATCACACGAGAGCATACGAGAAACGTGAATGGAGGTGTTTTTATGTGCGACTAAGCAAAATATATAATATGCTGTTGTAATGCATTCGCTTGTTCATTCAAAAAACGTATCGATCGTCAATCAATTGCCGTCTATACGCGTTGCCGATAAAAACATATTAGCATAGCGCTAGATGGCGTAGTAATCTTTGCGGACACTTAGATCGTCATCGACATAATATTATAACACACGATTCGCCCAATGCTCCAGGCAAACATAACGCGTTTTAGCATCGAGTTACAACGTATACAGTAACTGTAAGACAGACAGAGTGATTTTAAAATTTATGGTATACATTTTCAAGCATTGGTAAGTAGTACCAATACTATTTTAATTATCAATGTAATTAAGTTATAATATAATTACTAAAGAGGTGTGTAAGAAACAAATATGTGTGTGAAGCTATTGTAATAATTTTTTATTTTATTTTTTTCACATTTACATTTCACAAATTAAAAAAAAAAAAAGATATGTTATTAATAATTTTATATATACAATTTATAATGTATATTATATAATATATATGTGTGTGTATGTGAGTATATTTCATACGATTTGTATAAAATTGACAATTGTATGAATTATGTTTACCTAATACAAATTAAATGTCTAAAAATATTTATTATTAATTTAAATAGTTAATAAATTTGGCTATGTATTAAAAATAAAATGGTTATTAAAATTTATAAGTTTATAATTTATAGTTCTAGGTCAATTTATACTTATCCAATCAGAGGATTTTTTTTATTTTTAACTTGGGTATTAGATTTAATGGTAAATGTAAGCTATTTATTTAATTTTGTTTTAATAAAAAAATATTTGGTCTCACTGAGAAAAATGCATATTTTTGTTGATAAATCTTTTATAACTGTAAATGCATATCAAGTAAATATATTCAGTAGGTATATTATTGATTAATTTAAGTTCAGAGTTTCTGATTCTATTTTATTTCTATATAAGTAGAGATGGGCATAATAGGTAGTTGAAACAAGATATGTTTATGATGTTGGTAATTTTTAGGCGATATTTGTTTACGTTATTATTACGAACATTACTATTCCTCAGTAAACCAATCAAAATAATGTTTGATTCTACATAAGGTACTGCTGAGTGTGTGAAATACGTTCCTAAATCTAATATTTAAAATTTAATTTGTAATTATACATATTTTTAAGCTATTAGAAAAATACCTAAATTTACTTTTTATTCTAACTTTAATAGTGTAGATAAATTGTACCTGGTAAATGGTAATATGTATACTTATATAATGTATTAAATTTATTATACTAATATACGATTTATACTTATCATATCTTTCATTTAAATTATAGATTAATGCTTCAAAGCCTTCGAATTATATACCTATTCCTTAACTAGGTATATATATATATGTTTGTGTGTATGTGTGTATTTTTACAACCTTTATTATTCCACCATTGATGATATAAATATTAGAAGTCAATTACTCAATTTAAATACATAACTTTTTATTTTGAATTATTATCATGTAATAGTGATATGGATCTAGGTGCGAGATGAAATATTTGAAAACAGTAGAATGTATGACATATTATGATCCAAATTACGAAATCTTTAGTTTTCAGTTTTTGATAAACACATTTCATCGAAGAAAATTTATAATTTCAATTAATGATATGATTCCATAATTTAAAAGTGAATAAATCATAGTCGATTATTGCGTTTATTGTTAGGTATTTATATTTTAATGTTTTTTAAAAAAATAAATATTTAAAACGTGTCATGTATGGTTTTGTATGCCAGTTGTTTCGTATTTTACGAGAATTTCTCGTTTTTTAACTATCATCAAAATGTTTTGTTTTTCAAAAAATGTCTTCTTTGTATTGTTTTTTTTTTATTTTGAGATAATAATACATAATATCATTAATGATTACTACTTGTTTATGGATAGTACTTTTAATAATAGGCTTATTAATCGACGTTTAAGAAGAACATAAACACGGTTATGAAGTATAAATAATAATAATAATTTTATATGTTATTAATTTATATATTTTATTAGAACTTTTTTTTATAACTTTAAGCTTATTTTATTTTAAAATACCAGATTTTAAACTAATTGACCTCTCATAAAAAAAGATCATCCTATACCTATAGTCATTTAACTCAAAATGTTCATAATTTTTTTTTTAGTTTTAAAATTAACATAGACTAGTTATTTCATTTTTTGCGGTTTAATTAATTTTTGAAGTTCAAAACTTGCAACTCTAGACTATGGTGAACAATTTCAAAATTACTTATGCAGGAGAAAATTATAAAGTAGATAATATCTACTTTATAATTTTCTAAAATTATTTTATTATTTTATTATTTTTTTTAATGATTTTATAATTTTTTTTTCAATGTAAATTGTTTTTAGAAATAACGTGTATTTGTCGAAATTTTAGTAGGTGTTTAGCTTTGTCACAATGATAGTAAATGTAAAACTATAAAAACTATAATTAACGCAAAAATAATAAATATATATTTTATTCCAACCGTTAGAAGTCGTCACAGACTTAATAATATAATAAAATATGTACATAAATAAAACATGTCAATAGTAGGAATAAGGCCACCAGCTAAAATTAATTTATTCAACAATAAGGTTGTATAATATAACATACAAAATACTATATTATATTTCAGAACTGACGTAAGAATTATTTGATTACCAATTCTTAATGTCGTTATTTATTCTTCATTCGGCGTCGCCGACGATTGAATAATAAATGGGTCACAATGACGTATGATGCAGCATAATATCAGAGGGCGAAGAAACGCAGGAACGTAGGCACACGCCACAGAGGAGAGCCAGTCAATCAATCTTTAACGCTCTCGCATAACACTTATTGGTTAGGATGCGAGTAACAGCTACGCACGCAGCAAAATAACATTATCATGTTAATATAATACCTACGTTTTTCCGGAGCGAATCAAATGTATTTTTGACGCGTTGAGCTGCAGTGGACTTGTCTCGCTGATTTAGACATTTCAATCGTTCGCATCTAAATAAATACATGTAAGTACCTAATTTTTCCTGTAGGCAGTAACGTATATGTATGGAAATTATTTTTAGTAATAGCCAATTACATTTTTGAAGGGGTGGGAGTTATAATCACGACATATACATACATTATGACATGTTATGTTTTAATTAAAACCGAAATTTTACCACGGGCCACTGAATTCCATTATAAACGCTTATGCCCGTTAGGTTCAGTTCGATAAATTAACAATAAAAATAAAATTTTGATTTAAAGTGTACAAATGTATTATTGTATTTAATTTTCTAAACGTATATCACGAGTTTATTCATAATGCATATTATACAAAACAGAATTTTTAGAAAAAATATTTTACCGCACGCAAATTTTACGTACTTGTAGTAGTTATTATTTGAGAACAATATTTATTGTCTTCAAATTATTACTTTGTCAGTACAACTTTGTATTTGGTAGCTGTTATTATTATCTAAATTAGTACAATTGTGGAGAGATGTTTAAGACATATATATATATATAATATAGTATTATAATATGTTTTTATTAACAAAGAATACCTGAATCAGGTTCCGTACTTACTCTGCAAATATATTGTAAATTAAAATCTTTAAAAAAAAACCTATACATTTTTCAATTGCAAATAGTATAGTAACTATATCATAATATTAAAATTGAAATATTATTACTATAATATAATTTAATTTATCTATTCACTCTGAAATCCTACCACAAGTACTGACAATCAGTTTCCAACATATTATAGTTACATAATCATTTTTATATTTACATAGTAAATTATATTTAGTAATTAAAATCATCATATTTTGTATAAACCACATTTATATTAGAAAAGGTATAAAATAATAACTATTTACTATAGGAGTTAATTATTTCTCATGACTCATGAGTTATAGCAACTTTGGTGCTAGAAATAGTTTATTTTCCACAATTTTATTATGATACGTATAATTACCTAAGTGCCTATAAAGCTTAGATGAGTAATAAAATATATTCACTGCTTTAATTGCTTATATTTTTAAAACATAAAAAAATTAATTCTTTTGCAGCAGTTTATACAAGCAAAATTTTTATAGTTTAACTAAATCTGATAATGAAAAAAAGATTGAGATTAAAATTAAATTTATTATTGAAAGTCAATAACCGGACCTCCGATATTTATTTTATATCAAAATAAAATATCTATTATTACAAGTTAGGACGTAGACACATGAAGCCATTGAACACCTACATAATTAATTGATATTATAAATTACAGACATTTTAATAATGATAGTAAAATGCGTCTTGACCGATAGAATATAACATGGTTGGCGTACTGCGGTTGTTTTAATTTACATATTTTAAAAGGTGTCAGTAACTGCATGTCATAAACGTATCTATCGATAAAACTCTCGTTTCGTAAACTTTTTTATGACTTCAGAATAAAGTAGATAATAATAAAAAATAAAAAGAGTACAGTTGACAATTTGTATTTGATGATATTACTTGGATTTGTAAGGTAATTTATTCTTCACAAATTAACGTGATAAGACTTTTATTTATTTTATTTTTTTATTGTTAGCTATTATCTAATTCTCAAAAATATATCATACATAATATGATTGATTTAAAATGCACTTATTATCACATATTATTTTAGTAGTTTTATTCTTAAACAATCAAACGTTTTATTAAGTATATAATAATGGAAGCGATTTAAAATAACTTGAAAGGCTTAAAGTGTTTCCCCATTTTGAGTACCCAATGCATCTAGCGATACGATAGATAAAGCACGTATATTAAATATATCTTCATGAAAATCATGTAAAACACATGTTTTATGAATTAATACGTGCCTGATTTAACTTACGATTAAATTTTAGACCATTTGTATCAAATTATCTATTATTTTAGATTATGAATGAGAGGAAATAATATTATATGTAGCTTTATTCGTTGAAGAGTTTTTCTTTCAAAAAAAATATTTACAGAGGTATAAATATTTACTTTATGTGAAATTGTTCACGTAACTTAGTAAGTTAACATTTTTAAATTACAAAACTAGTTGTATCATAGGTTAGAAAAATAACTACATTTAGTGTTATAATTTAATATGATAATTATTCACGATGGTTCGTTATTATATTTGTTCCAAGTACGTATTTATGTTGCTAAAACAATTTTTTCGCTTAACAATGTTCTTATTAATACAACGTTATAACTGTAAATATTTGCATTATATTATTAATATTTTAAATTTTTATTCACGAACATTTGTATTTATATTTTTTGATCAATTAATATATCTTTTTAAGAAATTTAAAATATTGTATAAAGAATTCTATTTGGTTTCGGATTTTTATACATTTATAATATACTAAACACAATAGTATCAATAATCAACACATTTGACACTGAGGTACATTTAAGACTTACTCAAATAATATCCGTTTCATTTATTATAACTTTTTAAATTTATATATTACAATTATTTTATTCAATAGCTTAATGCGTGTTTTTCTTAGTATTAGGTAAATTAAAATTATATTTTGCTTGAACAAAATTACATTAGTTCAATTTATGTGAAATTGACACATAAATAAATGTCTATTGTAATATCTTCTAACTAAAATCACTAAAATTAATTATAAAAACGTTGTCTATAATTGTACAGGAATATTATCTACCAATTAATTAAGTCAACTAGTTAATTAATCTTATTTCTTTGTAATGTACATCGATATTTCGCATAATGCATCCGTATTTTTATGTGATATTTATAGAACCGATTTTATTTTTATCTGTATCATATATAATGATAATTTGAACAACTGTATAGCTTAAATTGTAAGCAGACTACATTAAGTTAGATTTTACATTAATGAAATCGCTACTATACATGTGTATGTGCGTGTATTTTCAAGTATCAATGCACGTAATCTCTTTGACACACAGATATTTAAGACTCTTTTACGTCATCACTTTAGTATGAGATGCAATTAAAAAAAAAAATAATAATAATAAAATAAAAGATTCTGACGTGAACGAACGATAAAAAGTGTAATGGTCGGAGGTGGAGGAGAGATTTTTGCGAAGGTAGCAACTTTTGTCCATAAGCACACTTGAAGCTGACTTGTGCTCTTGAAAAGTTACCAATAGTTTGCTAGCTTAGTAGTCGTCGAGCCATATTACGCATTATTAATTTAATGTGAGGCTTGATATTTTTTTTTCTCATGACCGATTTCTATAAAATTCTTATAAATAAATATAAGTGATTTTGTTTGTAAAAAAATTATATTTTTAGTTTCTTCGAAAATATTGAAGTTATCCTACCTCTGTGAAATTATTAACTTTGTGTTTAAGGTTTGATTTGAAGAACCAATTTAATTTTTAAAAAAATTCACATTTTTATATTCAATAAATTGAATAAAACTTAATATGAAATAGTATAGTGTTTCCCATTTTTTTCATTCATCCCCTTATAGATTTATAAAAAAAAATCACAATCTCAACAATAAAAAAAGAAGTGTGTTACTTTTTGTATACTGGGCAAGTTTATAAATAATGTCTTTATTATAAATAGCTGTACGTATTATTACATTATTAAACAACTATATTTAAAATTAGCCATATGACTAATTATTTATACATAAACATAATATACAGTATAATATAATATGTATATTGTATATATATTTTTAAGTTAATATTTATTTTCTCTATGATATATAATATTATGCACTTTATGTATTATGTCATTACGTTCTTATTTATAACAATAATCGGTTTAGATAATACTATTTTGGCTATCAAAATAATTTTATCTTATAAACACACAATCGTATCCAAGTAATAAATAAAAGTAGATTGTGTTAATTTCGATAATACTGATTTCGACATTCTATAGAAATAAGTATGTTGTAGATACTAGTACAGTTTTATTAATTATTGATTACTTACCTACATAATTATTTTTTTCTAAAATTATGAAAATCCATATTTTATTGAATGAATATAAAATAGTTTATATTACTTGTGCTGAATTGTACGAATAATTATAAAACATTTAATAAAATAATAGTATGCTAATATAAACATATATAATGATACCTTAAATACGATTTAACGGCCTATGATTGATTTATTAAACTAATTGATTTTGCATGCAATCTCTGGCATAATAAAATTAAATATTTTTATAATTATGAAAGTGAACTAAGTACTATACATATATTAAAAATATAATATATTATGTACATACTCGTTCATACCACAGCTATAAGTAGATAGTAGATACTGTAGATGTAAAAAACATATTTTTTTGCCAACATTATACTATTAATCTTTTTACTGCACTAATATAATACATTATGTTTATTATGCAGTATGTTTTTACGTTGATCATTGTGAAATCCTTAAAGTAAATTATTGGTACAGATTTTTTTTACTATTTAGTGTACGAATTACTTCCAAGTGTATTCATTAAAAAAATATTTCGTTAAAGATTGATTTATTTAAACAACTTATGTTCAACAATCAGATACATAATTTACACTTATTTTATTTGTATTTATTATTTTATGTATAGGTATACAAGTAGCATTTATAAGTTCACAGCAATTTTTGGAAGGAAGATTTTAAAAGTTTAAGAAGAATAATTATTCCCTGAAAGCCATTTTTTACTGTGCAGCACTATTACAATGATTCTCAAAAACTATAATGTATGTTTACAGTACTTTTTCACAACCACACATTCAAAAATTGATTCTCACACAACCTTTTTTTAAATTATTTTGAAAAATATTGTTTTAATTAATAAAAGAACATAAATTGATTAATTTAAAAAAATATCTATTGATTTTTACATATTAATATGTGTTTCACGTTTAATATTATAAATTAATTTAAAATTATTTACACAAGTTTTTTTACTTCTCTAGTAGAAGGTAAATATTTTTTTTAATACGATTCATGTATTAATAAATAATAAGCAAATTACACCTATAAGAGATATTAA